TTTAACCCAATTTACTCCATATATTATTTATTTTATTAGTGATTCAATGTGGTTGTATTAATTGCAGCTCTAAGATATTCCCAGGTGCTTCTGAATAATACTTCATGCAGCACATACGTATTTAGCTTTTCAATCACATTTATTGTGTTTTTAGGACCTTAAAATTTGCAAATATTTTCGAATGAATATTTTTCGATGCTTTATATACATTTAAACTGTTAATTCAAGGTACATCCTCCATTTTCCCACGTGGCAACTAGGCATCATTCAAGATATTAGCATGATCGTTGTTTAAGCATTTGTTCAGAAAAGAACTAATGCATTTCGATTTACGAAATCAACTATCAGTAAGCTGCTTCATTTCAAGCTCTATTTAGCTCATTTAATATTTGCTTATAAAATTGCCGTTATCATGAGCAGTAAAAAAATGTTTCAATTTTATTTTGGCAGTTATATTTTCTACTTCTAACCCTATTACTCCGCAATTTTTAAAGTTCTATTAAATCTATAGTCTAATAATGGCACGCATCTAGTAAAAATAAATGAATGTATATTAATTTGTGTGAATGAATTAGCACTATTTCTAACCATTTGTAGTCGAACGTATGTCTGAATAGGCTACTCCACTTGAATTCGCAGTATTTATTTCAAAATGCATCTCACACCTATTTATATGCGCCTCTACATGATGAAAATGGGAAAACTATCAAATTACTGTCTTTATAACCTGTGCACATATTTTATCAAGCATTTACGTTTAACCTTTTAGAATACAAGTTCTACTACATCTTGTCAGTAGTATTTACAAATAATTGTTAATTATTAAAACTGATATCAAGAACAAATTGTGAATTTTTAATAGGTAGTGTTCCCGCTAAGGTTTTGTGATTTTGACAATGTTCAGTAGAGTTATTCAAACCTTTTCATTTTCAAATGCATTTACTAATGTCTGCTTTAACTTACACCGTAATTACGTGAAAAAATCATTCTCTAAAAATCATTGATGCATCTTTCCCACTTTAGACAATGAAAAATTACTTCCTTTACAATGTGCTTTCTCAGAGCGCGTAGAAATTTAAAGTTTCGACAACAAATTTATATCTTGATTTGTCACAAAATCTTCTGGGATTCACCAAAATGCTACCTTAAATATTATTCCAAACTGAAGCTTTAAGAGACAGTCAACTTATTCCAGAGTAAAAAAGGTAAAGATTAACTGATCAATGTATGACAATTAGATTAAATTCCTTAGAAATTCTTTCTAATCAGGATATTGAAATTGACACTTGTTATAATGAATCAGTATAACCATTGATAGGTATGCTAGAAACTTATAAAATTTAAATTTGCATTATTATATAAAGCGAATATAGCAATCATATGGAAATAATTATAAGACACACGTTATGGGAATATTCATTTGAAAGGACGAATTTTATCAGTACTTTTCCATATGGGTATGGTTTTCTCCATATTTCGAGCAACTCTTGATTGCACTCTTCAAGCAAAATTTAATGCTTAGGGCAATGAGCTGACTGATGCGCTTGCTAAGATGGGAACAACAATTTTGCAAGGCATAAGCCGGACGATGTCTTTCCACACAATGAAAACCTTAATCAGGAGAGAATTCAGGACCTCAAGGTGCAATGAACTCAAAGCTCTGTTTTATTAAACTTAGTCCGCCTTGCTAACTATGACCAAGGTCTTTTCGTGTACACTCTACCCATTTTACCACATTTCTCCCCAAATAAACGTGTTCCGTGCTATACGTCTGTTTCCTCAATAGCTGAGCTAGAGGTTAGCTAGTTCTGGGAGTCTATCTAGATGTAGGAGAATCTGCCAAAGAGAATTTTGAATCAGTTAGGCTTTACTAGTGTATCAATTGGCAACATTAGAGCCAAGTGAATTAACACACGTAAATACCGTTAAAAGTTCATAATCTAATACACGGTCTCATCTACCTTGGAATACAACCGGTCTTTAGATCACTGAAATGGTCTTGCTTATATAACAACAGTAAGTGATGTTCATATTACCCTGCTACACTTTTGCTTCGGCTCTCATAATATCAATTGTCTTGCTGATAAATAAATGGAGAATTTGATTGGTGAGTTATCAAAAGAGAACTTATGACTCACAATGTTCGGCGTTAATAATTAAGGTTTGATTTGAGGAGGCATTTTTCATGATGTTATCTAAAATTTAATCATATAAATCAGACATGAAAATACTGTTTAAATTGCATATGCTGGGAACACAGCGAAAACTAATGTTAAAATTTATAAAGCATCGTCTTTTTAATTTACGTTAGTTACGCACATCCATCCTACCTTAAATTAATCATTTAATACGATTATAATGATGACCTTGGATCGCATTTATACAAATACACCGAGGCCATTTCACGGAAAAAAGAGATATGAAAACGTGTGACAAATGTTTTAATAAACAGATGGGCAAATGTTTATTATTCTTTTAGTTTTTGCTTTGCTACATTTTGATTTTTCTTTTGAAAAAGAAGGCATAGATCTGCTTGATTCTATATGTTCAAGAGTTGTTGCAAAACCATTTGGAAAAATGGAACCAATGATATTTAACTTTAGTGGATATCAGGTAAATATCCATTTGAAATTTATGTGTTCTAAAAACGCGCGACCAAAGGCAGTATTCGGCTTTGAGAAATTGAAAAAAAGTTATCCTTCACAAAATAGAAAATGGAAGATGCAAAGTGAATGGTACTTTGATCGGAAAACCTTGTTATACTGAACATAGTAATAAATTTTTGCCTGCGCTTAAGGCAACTTAATACCAGTTAATGTTTAGATTGCGTTAATGTTAAAATTAATGGAGCCTCAAAATACGAACAACTGATAGCTTCTGGAAGCCATTTCGAATGCGTTGCAATTTTTTCTCAAAGATATGTGTTCAGACTAGGTTTGATCATACTGAAAGATGGGAATGATCACATTAATGCTATGTTGCTTTATCGAATTTTAACTGTTAAATCTAAGTATTACCCATTGTCTATAATTTAAGGAAATGTGATACCACGAGTTTCATTTCCATTTGCAAGGTTTGCAATTGGAATGAGCTCTGTCGAAATAAAATGTTCTCTTAAAGGATCAAAGCACTTTGTAGAGGTGTGTGTGTGTGTTTCGCAACAAATTTTAGCTAAATTATTTTTCAATACTTTACTTAATTTTGATTAAATAATTTAAATTGATTTAAATTGACATTATAGTTTTTATAATTTCGCATCAGAAATGAATTTCCTCATTTCTTTTCAAGAGCTTATTGAGCATGCGGGCCACCGTTTTATGTCAATGGTTTGGAGCGTTGGCCACAGAAGAACCAAGTAATAAATATTGCCGTGAGTAATTATTAATTCAAAGATATTACAATTTAAGCAGAATAATATGAATGTTTTAAATTTAAAGGAAACTTAACTGTAAATGAGGCTAAAGATTGACAAGATTACGCACTTATCTTCGAACGAAATAATTTGGAAGAAAAATGTTATTTTATTTTTGAAACAAATACGTCAGTTGTAGGCGTTACTGTTTACTGGGATAATGGAGGTATTCAATATTTTGAATAAACTTTGGCATTTTATTTGAAAACTTCAAATATTTGCCCTCCTTAGGGGAGTCTCCTGTTTACGCCGAGTGCAGAAGTAAGTCCCACTTCTGTGTGTTGCAATTGTTTGACATTTGAATTTAAAATTCAAAATTACCACAAAGATAATCACTACTTATATTATGGCTTGAGCTTTATTCCAATGCTTCTATTTATAAAATATTCCACGAATCAGTAAAATAGTTGATCTTTAAATTCATTACAAATATTATTTCAATATTAGAAACTATGTTAATAAGCATTTTAGTATAGTTGTCGTAAAAAACATACGTCGACCAAATTCAAATCAGTTGTGCACATATTAAAATGAAAAACAAAATGAGAGATTAAATAGTTTAATTGATAGTTAAATTGACTATCAATTAAGAATTGAATGTACATAAACTCGTATAAATTCATCAAATAACACGTTACTATCGGTTGCTTGAATTGGTCTTCAGGCAATTTGGAGTTCTTTTTGGTCATCTTAATTGACATTAAATTAAATGTTTGTTAAAATGGCTAATGAGAAAATCGATATGTTTATGCTATTAAAAGGCAGCAAAGACATGGCTATGTGCGCATATTGAAAAATAAAATGCGACTTTGACATAAACATACAGAAGAACATCCAATAGTTCAACAAGAACTACAACTGGCTTTTATTTTGGAGTTAAGTAAGCATAATTTCATTTAAAACTATTAAATAACAAGTCGCCATCATTTACTTAAATTTGCCATCATGTAATTCGGGGTTTTTGTTTAGTCATCTTTATTAAAAGGAAATTAAAATTTGATGCAAATAGCTACTGACGAAATTGACATATTCATTTTATCAAAAGAGAAAAAATTCATAACCATTTGGCTTTTTCCTTTCAGGAAATGGCAACCCATTATCAGCAAGAAGTGGTAAGCTAGTATTTGCATTGTTTTCAGTCATATTCAGTGTCACTCTAAATGTATCGATTGATGGTTTAAAAAGAAAGCTAAAATAAAAATTTCAGTAGTAGTCTTTTGAACGTTTTCATTTATCACAAATGAATTTTCGGTGGCAAATCGGACCAAAAAATGAGTCCATTTTAATTTGTGAAATGTTTCTTCCCATATTGCCCTAATATGTCATTGGCAAAAACAGTCAAATACGTTTTGAATATCATCGCACTAGTTCAAATTTGTTTGCAATAGATGCACAAAAACACGTGCTAACTTTTCGTTTAGTTTTCAAATACTGCCAAATGGATTGTTCAGTCGGGTCAACGTTCATAAGCAAGTTATTGCATTATTTTCAGAAGGCGAGGTTCTATTCCCATAGACTAAGTAAAAACTTTTTTGTCAGAAAATCTTCAAGAGATTTAAAGATACAAGTAAGACAGCTTTGTGAAATTATGGAAGACGCAACACCAAATAATGTACTGATTGACCCACATTGCGAACTTAATGCTGCGATAAAACAGCTAAAGTGCAAGACGTCTCCTGACGAAGACGGTATTCATCCGGATTTTCTAATTAGAATGGGACCGAAAGCCAAAGAAACCATAATGACGCTTTACAACAAAATCTGGGAGACCAGTCTCGTACCTAACCAATGGAAAAAAATCTGGGAGACAAGTCTTGTACCTAACCAATGGAAAGTTGCTAATACCAGTACTAAAAAGGGCAAAGACCCTAGCAACTTTGATGGGCAAATACCCTAGCAACTTTGACAACTATAGGCCTGTCTTCCCACAAGCGTGCTGGCTAAACTTATGGAAAGAATGGTTAACAGGAGATTGACCTGGTTGCTTGAGACTAACAATATTCTTAGGATTAAACAAGCAGGTTTTAGGCCACAAAGATCAACGAACAAACAAGTGGTCACTTTCGCCCAACACATCAAAGATGTCCTTGATGCAGGAAGTACCCTTGCGGCTGGTTTCGTTGATTTCAAATCAGCATTTGACTTAGTATGGAAAGAGAAGCTAATTCTAAAATAACATGCTAAGTCAGATACGGAAATGCTCTTTCAAAATCCAATCTTTTACAAACAGGCCTTCCACAGGGTCCACAGGAAGCTGTCACAACCTGCACTCTTTTCAATGTCCTCATCAATGACATAGCCGAATTGGTACAGACAGTCACGAGCATGCAATGCCATAGCCGAATTGGTACAGACAGTCACGGGCATCAAGTGACATAGCCGAATCGGTACAGACAGTCACGGGCATCAAGTGCTTACTTTATGCAGATGATCTTGTTCTATGGTATTCCGCCACTGAGAAAAACGCTCAGGAGATGACAGATAGTGCTCTTAATAGTGCACTTAAACTACTAGCAAACTGGTGCGACAACAATGGAATGGTAATCAACACTCCAAAAACTGCACTCCAAACTTTTTCTTTGGCCCATCAGAGCATAAACCCGCTCTTAAGGTACAAGGATACTACCTTAGAAAACATCCCGCTTCTAAGGTACAAGGATACTAACATAGAAAAAACCGAACTTCTAAGGTACAAGGATACTACCCTAGAAAAAACCAGTAAGTTTCACCATGGTACAAGGATATTACCCTATAAAAAACCAATGAGTTCACAATCTCGGAATGACGTTTGACACAAAGCTAACGTGGAAAAGTAACCGGAATGACGTTTGACACAAAGCTAACGTGGAAAAGTCACGTTGATACTAGCATAGAAAAAACCAATGAGTTCACATATCTCTTAATGACGTTTGACACAAAGCTAACGTATTCACATATCTCAGAATGACTTTTGACACAAAGCTAACGGCTAAAAGTCACATTGCTAAAATAGCAGAAAGAGCTAACGTGGAAAAGTCACATTGCTAAAATAGCAGAACGATTCTAACGTGGAAAAGTCACATTGCTAAAATAGCAGAACGAGACTGGAAAAGTCACATTGCTAAAATAGCAGAACGAGTCTCCACTATTCACATATCTCAGAATGACTTTTGACACAAAGCTAACGGCTGAAAGTCACATTGCTAAAATAGGGTACAAGGATATTACCCTATAAAAAACCAATGAGTTCACAATCTCGGAATGACGTTTGACACAAAGCTAACGTGGAAAAGTAACATTGCTAGACGTTTGACACAAAGCTAACGTAGAAAAGTCACATTACTAAAGTAGCAGAACGAGTCTCCAATAGACTGAATGTACTGAAGAGTCTTGATGGTAGCGTATGGGGCTGCGCACGCTCAACTCCCAACACCACTTACAAGATATTTATTCAGCCAATAATGCTGTATTGCTGTGAGGCACTCATTACAGCCACAGAGGTGAATTTTAAACCACTCGAGAAGGCACACAACCAAGCATTACGATTCATCACTGGAAGGATAAAATCAACACCCATTGATGCAAAGCATCCAGTCAGAGAAAGCACTACAATATGTTCCCTTATCAAAGAAAAGGCCTTGATCCTGTATAATAAGCTACTGCGCATTCCCATGGATAAGTTCTTCAGCACCTATGAGAATACACCAAGACATCTGAAAACGCAATCTGGTCTAATACAGAAAGCCATAGAACTGAAGAAGGCATCACAAATCGATGACAAACCAAAAAGCCACTCTTTCTCTCATGAACCCACTAGCAGACACTTATGTAGTGTGTTGCAACCAACTGATTAACTTATTTAGGAAACCAAACACCCCTCCAGAGCAAATGCGCTCACTGGCCCTTGA